AAACCTTTTTAAAAGAAATTTTATAAAGTTTAGAAAAATTTTTTTTGGTTTTAATCCCGGGTTAATTTATTTTGTTTGCAAAGAAAAAGTTTTCTCCCTTTCCAAAAAACCCCCAAAAACCGGGTCCAAATAAATGGGCCACCCAAAAGAAATTAAAATTTTGTTAAAAATTCCCCCGTTCCAAACCCCTTATATTTTTTTCCTTTGGGGGGAAAAAATAATATAATTTGGGCTTCTTTTCAAAAATTTTGAAGGGGTTTCCCCTTTTACTTAATTCAGTTGTTACATTTAAAAAAGTGTTATTACAAAAAAAAATATATAATATGGAAAAAATTTTTTTTAAAAAAACAAACCAAAATTAATTGACCCCGAAAAAAGGAGCCATTTCCCCATAAATGTATGGTATGTTTTTTTTGTATTTTTGATTTTTCATTAAAAATTTTCCCCGTAATAAAAAACATACTTATTCATCCAATTTTATGGTTGGGAAAACCCCCCCAATTCAAAAACCAAATTATATTTTCCTCCCCAGACCCCAAACAACGGGAAAGTATTCTCACTCAAAAACTTTTAAAACCCCCCCAATTTAAAGAAAAAAATAAATTTTTTTTTTAGGGGAAATTGAACGAATTACAGTGCATTAAAAGGGTTAAATTAATTTAAAAAAAATATTAAGGGTTACAATCAAATTTTTGCGGGGAATACTTTTTTTAAAACCCCCCAAAGAAAAAAGTAATTTTCCGTAAAAAAACCCCTTAAAAATGAAAAACTATTTTTGATTCAACAGAAATTCAAGAATACTTCCAGAGGCTAGCACACCAAATAAAAAACTGCTGGGTTCCGGGGAGTAAAAGGGGGTTTTTAAAACATGTCGGACTTTTTTGGCCCAGGAAAAATTTTCGCTTTTAAATTAAATTTTCTCCGGTTTTAAACAAAGGTTTTTTCGTGAAAAAAACCTTTTAAAAAAATAAGGGGGTTTTCATAAAGAAATAAAAATTTTTCAATTTTAAAAATTAAAAACCTTTGTTTTTATTACCCCCTTTCATACGTAATTTTTCACCCGTGGGGCAGAGGGAGGGCGCTGTTTAAGGGGTTTTAGAGGCCTTTAAGGGTTTTTTTAATCCTTGTCGAGCAAACATTTTTTTTGAAAGTTGGCTTTTTTAAGGAAAATTGCCCCCATATGAAGGGAAAAGTTGGGGGTTTTAATAAAAAAAGAAAAAATGAAAATTTTTTTTTGCAAAAATCTAGGGATAAAAATTCCATAAAGTAAACAAAACAAAAAACCCGCATGTTTAAAAAGCTTTTCCGTCCCCGTTTAAAATAATAAAAAGGGATATAAAAATTAAAAATTTCATCAGGAAAAACAGAAAATACCACAGAGATACAGCCCATCCTTGATTATTTAAATTAAAATCATTATTTGCGTTAGAATTTTATAAGATTTACATAAATTCTTGATAAAATATTGTTTTACTCAAAGATGTGAATCATATAGATATATCATAGAGCACAAAGTCGTGTTATATATGTGAAATGTGGTGGTTTGTAAGGATGTCTGATCTATAATCAAGACACACATATGCCCAACATTTGAGCGCGCCGTCACGAAAAACCAACATAATGGTTTGCGAGCCAAACATGGATCCGAGACAGCCTGCGCGCTCCGCACAGTTCTGATCAGGATCCATGGCTGTTCGCTTTCCAACTCTTTTACAAAGCTAGAGAAACTGGTAGCGAACAGCCTGGATCCTGATCAGACTGCGCGGACGCTCAGGGCTGCGTCTGAATCCATGCTGGTCGCAAATCCATTATGTTGGTTTTATCGTGACGCGGCTCATTTGTAATTGGGACTATGCACGGGTTAAAAAAAAAAACAACTTCCCTTTTTCCTTATTTATACTGGGATATTTTAATGGTTCAATTTCCTATTTGCCACTTGTTAACTTAACATTTAGTTAAAAGGCGAATAATTTTTTCTTTTTATTAAAGTCCCTTGATTTTAGTACCTAGGCGGCGCTTTGAAAATTGATGACAGTAATATTTTTGGGAAGGAGTTCTAAAAAATTAATAAAAAAATTTATATTCCCCCTATATTGGGGGGGTATTAAATGGCCTGAAAAAGCCACTGGGCTGTACGGTAAAGCCCTTCCATTTTTAGCCCAATTATATTTTTAATGCATAATTTTTACTTTTTTTTTATAAACCTTTTTAACTGCCAATATTAAACGGGTTTTACGTAAATTTTTTATACATGTACGCCCGGGGGATCTATACGGAAAATTTTCCAAAAATAGGGGAAAAATCGTGGAAACAATTTCCCTTGGGCCCTCGATAACAGAAATTCTCGCCCCTTTAGTTTTAATTTTACTTAATGTAAAGATCAAACTAATCCACAAAGCCTCAACACGGGGTTTTTTAACAATTTTCATAATGATATAAGCGGTTAATTAAAAAAATGCGAGCTATTAAAATCATTTTTTAAAAAACCATCAGGGGAAAATTAAAATTTTTTTTATTATACATAAAAATTAATTAAAAAAACTAACCCTAAATGGTTTTTTAAAAGAGCATGAGAAAAATTTGTTTTAAAATTTTATGGGCGGGGTTAAATTTTTATTCCCAAAAGGGCCTTTTTTTTATATTTTAAAATTTTATATAAATTTAAAGAAATAACGGGAAAATGGAAAAAACAAAAGGTTTTTAAAAATTTATAAAGCAAGATGGGGAAACAAAAATAATTTTTTTAAAAGGTAGTGGGCAAAAATAAATTAAACATTTTAAAAAATTTTTAAATTTCCTCAAGCAAAAATGGAATCAAGCATTTAAAGCAAGTTCCAATTTGTCTCAAGAAGAGGAATTTAAAAAATTTAAAGCAAGTTTCCCAAAGGCATCAAACAAGATAGAAAAAAGCATTTAATTTTTTCCATATACCCGGGCAAGGGGCTTTATGATTAAATTTCTAAAAACTCGGTTCTTTTCCCCGAAAAGCAATTTCAAAAAAGAGGTGGGCCAATTTATCTGTTTTTCAACCCCAAATTTTTTTACGAGAATGAATGAAAAATGGGGATTTTCCCCTGGTTTAAAATCGACCAAAAAAAGAAAAATTTTTCTATTTTGTGATTATGGGTTTCTGCAAGGGGTCGAAAGGAACGGTTCCCAACACTTTTTTTTGTGGAGTTAAATCCTGTTTTTGATTATTCTACAGAAGAGGGAATGACTGGAAAAATTTGCATAAATGTAACTGGTCTAGACAATTATTACGTCAAAAAAATATTTCCAGTCTTGTCATGTCAAAGAAAACTACAGTGATCATTAATCTCCTGAATGTTTTAAATGGACTTGTCCAGGTTCTATTTTAAGAACTATCCATTATCAATTTTGGGGGATAAAAATAAAAGAAATAAGTAATAAATAATAATAGTAATAAGTATTAAATAGTTATGATAATATTCTAGGAGACAATCATGCATGTTCGTTTTTGTTTTCTCTGCCTATATTATAGAAGCATGTATTTGTAATTGTTTTGTTTTATTTCATTATTTCTAGGCTTGTGCTGTACCAGCATGCTGTTTTATTGACTTGGAAAATAGAAATTTCATACTTTTATATAACTACAACAAATAACAAAATAACAATTTGGGCAGCAGGCATCGAAAAAATATTTTCAGAGTCACTTCTCTGCAGGATGCGTACCTTTTAAATCCAATGTGCATGCAGGCAACATTTTTATGCCCCCACAGAGTGGGAGCATATAGCGTTGCACTTGTCCGTCCGTCCGTCACGCTGTACGTCTGTCCGTCCGTCCGTACGTCCCGAAATCTTGTGAACGCAACTCGTCTTAAACCGGATGGCAGATTTTGCTTAAACTTCCAGGGATGAACAACCTTAATGTGTAGATGGTAGTAAAGGAAGGAATTTTTGCTGTGACCAAATTTAACAGAATTATGGCCCTTTGTTGATTTTTTCACTATATACCATATATATGTTGTCAGTGAGGGCATCCGTGTCCTTTGGACACAGTTCTAGTTTCTTCTTGTCCTGCATCAAGTTCTCCTAAATTCAACTTGAAATTATGAGTGGACAAGTGGAATTTTCAATTTGCAGCCATTATGATAAACAAATTATTTAAAAATCCAAGATATAAAAAAAAAAAAAATAAATAAATAAATAATTATTTGAACTTTTTCAAATTTTGATTAGATATCACTCAATTATGAAAGAAAATATGTTTATATATATTATATTTTGTGCTTCATTGTTTTATAAAAGCTTAATGTATAAATGTGTTTAAATATTTTTCATGTTGTTTAAAAATGTTTTTTAATGTTTTCTCGTGATAGAAAACAAAAATACTGTTGATTGGTTGAAGAATATTACATAAAAAAGACATCATATTTCTATAATTAAAAAAATTTTATGGCAAAAAAAATGGTGTGAATTATATAATAGGAATATACAAATTAAAATAATATAATGCAAAAATCCCTCAGTATACATGTATCTGCTAATCGTTACTGTGAAGGGGAGGAAAAAAAACAAACAAAAAACTGCAAGAAACAATTTGTTTTGACTCATTGTTCGCTGTTTACAACTGATAAATAATTTTGCATGTGTTACATATACTGTCAAAGATATAAAAATTCTTAGATTTGATTACATAAGACATGCTTAGCTTTAAAGTAGAAATGATTTTTGATGGCTTTGTGCTAAAAAGTTTGTAGCTCCTATTTATCTCACATGAGTTACAGCAGTTTTGTACTAGGCGTTTGTTTTTGTTTTAGTTCATTATTGAACAGTACAAATATATGTAGGAACTGATGTGTGGCTTTTGTATGGTATAGTCAATAGATTGTTGTATTTGGAATCATAATTGTTTAATTATCAGAGAATTATCCTTATTAATCATGATTATATGGCAAACTAAACATACTATGTGTGACAAAATTATTTCATACAATTTGAACAAATATTTAAAAGAAATAAATTTTTCTATTTTTCAGCAATGGAAGAAGATAGTCCCTTGCCAAGCCCGTCCCGTCGTAACAGCACTCCCGAAGTCGAGACCCCACAGCAGGACCTCGAGGCGCAGACACCTGATGAATTGAACCCTAGTTTCTCTCGCTCACTGTCCAAGATTGAATCGTCCATACACTTTGCCAAGAAACAAAAGGGTACAATTGATGTATGGTGGTTGTTTGATGATGGAGGTAAACTTTTTTTATCACTGCAAGTGCTCGAGTTGTAGTAGCAGATCCCTACAGTTCAGTCAGACTTGCAAATTTGCGTGCAATCAAGTTGTCCCTGACTCAACACTCTTGGGTGTTAAATATCAATTAGCTTTAATTAAAAAGAAAAAAAGCAACATAATTTTTATATTAAAATACTTAAATTGGTTGTAAAATTTCAATTACATTAATTGTTAAAAAGCATAAAAAACTATAATCTCAATCATGCCAGGGGAGGCAACTTCAAAATATAACATGACTTAAAAAACTATATTACCTCCCTTTTGTCAGTGCTGAGAAATAATTATAATGGAGGTTGTAATATGTCATGAGATGTTCAAGCACTGCTATGTTTAGTAATTTTTCTTCTCAGCTAGTTAGTAATTTTTCTTCTCGGCTAGTAAGAAAGGAAGTTCAAACCTCTAAAAAAATTATTTTAATACTGCACATTTGTAAAGTCGCTTTTCATTGGATAATCGTGATGTTTTTACAGTTTTCTATACACGGCTGCTTTCAATTTGTGAACAAATCATTTTTTTTCCTGTGAAAAAGGGATATTTGGGATATAATATATTCGTTATGATGATTTCTGGCAGGTTATATGGCCATCTTTATGGCAGGTTATATGGCCGTATATAAATGGTTATTTGCAATATAAACCAAGCCGCTATATGCTAACATCCTTTTATATAGGACTATATAACCTGTCAGGAATCTTTATAACTTATATTATACATGAAGACTGCTGTCTATATAAACATATCAATGTTGTGAATTAATTCACAGTTCAATTTTAATATACTTCATCCCTGTGAAATGGTATATAAGGCTCTCTGTCAGTACAAAATGTGTAGCCGTCCAGTTAGCTCAAAAGTTAGAGCATTGGACTATGAACCAGACGACCTGGGTTCGATTCCCGGGCGGTGTGGGTCACTTTGGTTGTGATTGATCATGAAATCCTTTCTATGGTCATTCGCACTGTACCTTGCTCTTGCATGTACAGAAGTTATCAGTTATCAGAAGTTGTCAGTTATCATGTACAGAAGTTATCAGTTCCTTGCGAGAGTGAAGGCAACTAGTACTGGTAAACTGCTTGACAGCCTGCCCAGGAACGATGCAGTGGCTGAACTGTGCTCTGGTAAATTCAGTGTGTCTTACAGCTGTGATCCAAAGTGAAACTACCAACACCACCATCAAAATGTGTCAAATATTGGTACACTTTAAAACAATTATTTAGTTGAATTGAGTTTGGTTATATAAGTTTTGTATGTATTCAGGTAGTTTTAGTTGAATATTGTTATAAAATCTTTAAATTTATTCTGCAGTTTTAATTAATAATAGTTATATAACCTGCATATTAATCCAGGTATTAACAATGTTATATATTATTTTCAGGTTTGACATTGCTGTTACCATATATATTACAAACTAAACAGCAGTGGAAGAATTGTGGGCTTAGAGTGTTCACCGCGGGAACCAAACGTGGGGAGCTAGTCCGAGAACAAAAACAGTAAGAATTTTATATTTTATATAGGAAAGTACTTTCTGTGATGGAGATTGACTTTTATATGTATAGAGGAGAATCTGTATTTGCAATGTTTATCTCTGGATTAATTTGTCAAGGTCATTCACTTTAAACCACTTGCCTATTACTGCTGTAGGTTCGAGCCCTGCCAGCCTCATTAGATTCGTTCATGTGAGATACCTATTAAGCTAGCTGACAGAACATCGGTGGTTCTACTCTGGTGCCTGTTTATGCCTGAAATATTAGCGCAGAGTGGCATCTAAGGACTGGTCTTCTTCCACTGTAAAGTTGGAAAGTGGCCACATGATCCATAATTTACGGTACTTGGCTGACATCAAATGCAACAAGACAAACAAATGCTATAGAACATTGCATTGTATTCTGCATGTATTTCAGAATGGCGCAGTTGCTGAGTAAATTCCGTATAGAATGCCAAGACATGAAAATTATTGCAGATATTGGCAAGTTGCCAACAGATAAAAGGTAAGACTTAAAACTAAAATTAATACCATTGATTTTACATTGTAACAATAGTTTTGTAAATATCAACGCTAACCTTGAAATATGTTAGCAGATCAATTGTATTTGTTTTGTATCGGATTTCTCCTGTACAAACAAACTTTAGGCATAATAGCTTCAAAATGCACTACCTGTCACCAAAGATTAGTCAACTCAACCTGTTGCGCTTATTTTCGAAGTTGTAAATGTAAAGAATTGTTTGTACCCCCAGATTAGCTCGAGAAAATTTTCATAAATCCAGAGAAAGTCTATTGAAAGTGATTACCCCTGTGCTCTAAGTATAGAACCAGAACAGCCTGCAAATAGGTGTATTCTGACCAGGCTCTATACTGTTGACTGACTCACTTCAAATTTTCATCTGGATATCCCTTTAATTTGACAGTTCCAAAAAAAAAGAAGCTGGACAGTTCCATTTAAGAAATTGAGAAGGTTAAGAGTTTAATTCACTAAGGAGTCTTCCGAATTCATATGGCAAATGCATTTTACTTATGAAAAGTGTATTTTACACCTTCAGAATGATTTGTAATCCTAGAGCAGCTAGCTTGATCTAAAGGAAAGGAAAAGATCTCAGACATAGATTAGTTTAAACATAGTGAATTAAGCTAGATTGCAAAACAAGTTCTTGCAACTTATATTAATCACTTTCTAGTCCGCTTCCTGGAATCAACCAGTACTGGTGTCATATGAAGAAACCTGATTAGGGCTTGAACCCATGATCCCTGGGTTGAGAGGCAGACACCTTAACCACTAGGCCTTGACAAAGATTCTAATGGTCCCTCAGTGCTAAATCAGAGCCATGACGGATAAGAAGTTGGTCACTTTGATTTGAGGCCCATATGGAAGATCGGGAAACCGAATGTGTAAGCGTTAAATATATGTGTTACTTACGTACCTGCTTACTTCTCACTTTGCCTTGACTCCATTTGCCTAGACTCGACTTCTTTCAACTTTTCTTACTAACTTACTTGGAAAGATATTTGTAATCACTGGTTAGTAATCCAGGAAAGCCAGTTAGATGGACTGACCGTCCGCACATGATGAAAAATTAATGTTGAAATCAGCATTAAAACCAAACCAAAGGAACAAAGTTATTGGTATTTCTGTTATATATTGCAGCAAGCAAGAGTTTAATGAGTTATTAAAAGGTTTGGTACTTGATGAAGACAACGGGGAGACCGTGGAACAATACCCGTGGAAAACTACCGAGGACGAAATGTTACTATTGAAAGAAAAGGTTTGTTTACTTATAACTAAAAGCTTTTACTGGAATTGATTAAAATGACTGTTGACTTAAATCACTGGAACAACTGCCAGTAGTTCCAATGACACCAATGAAATTTAATACTTGTGTACATGTACTAAGGAGACTGTTCAGCTTAATGTAAGAGATGCCTTAATGGATTCTAGGATAATTGCATCCCCAGAGAATTGCCCCCCTATAATGTAAGAGTGTAGAATTGCTACCCAAGTGCAATAACTGATTAACTCCTATTAAATTTAGAAGGACTGACTTCATTACTGCACTAAGAGTTGTCATAATACTGTAAGAGACGGCTGTTAATATAATAATATCCATAGAAATTACATATGAAGTAGGGCAAATCCATTACACAAGTTTAGCAGGTAATGGGACTGAGGGATTAACTATAAATAAATTTGTGGATTGTTGTTTTTGTTTGGGGGCAGGGGGGTAAAAAAGAAATTTTATCACCTGTAAGCATACTGCTTTAAAGATGAGCCGCGTCACGACAAAACCAAAATAGTGCGTTTGCGACAAGCATGGATCCAGACCAGCTTGCGCATCCGGATGCGCAGGCTGGTCCGGATCTATGCTGGTTGCAAACGCGCTATGTTGGTTTTGTCATGACGCGGCTCATATAGTTTTATATGTGTCACATTTTTCACGTAATGATGCTGATATTATTATCGTTTTTTGTAGACAAATCGTCAGATGAGATTACGGGAACTTCTTCTGCAACATTCTATGGATGCATCTCTTATAGTCATGTAAGTCGAAAGTTATTGTAGTAGCATTTCAAATATCTGGTCTTATAGGATGGTTGCCATGTAGTGTTGGATATGGGACTCAAATATCACTATCAATAATTGGACCACCACAATCGATTATCTGCCGATAGTATAATCGGGTTTTGCATTTTTTTATGGCCGTTTTTTCTTTTAAGGTTCAAACCCTTGTAGTGACTACATTTTGAGAATTAATAAACTCCTTTCTCCAAGATTTAAAGCAAGATTTACTATTTGAATTCAAATGTTTGATTTTGTTTGTGAATTTTTCTTTTAAATTCTCTTTGTTTTCAATCGGTGGGGGTTAAGTTTTTGGGGTTGCTTATCACATAGTTTTTACGTTTGTTTCAAAGGCCAGGGGAAATAATTAAGTATAAAAAGAATTTTATTTAAAGGGCCCCTATTAATAGGGGAAAGGTACAATTGCACAATTGATTGCTTTAGAAATTCTCTTTTTGTACTCACAGTTATATAATGATTCAGTTTGTTTACATACATTATAACAGATATTGATTTAGTGCTTGCTATCAATAGTTGACAGACTTGAATATTAATAAAAATTTGTGAAACACTGCACCCAGACTGATTCTATAGATTTATCCTTGATTTGATTGTTCTCAAGATTCTGACATGAACCAGTCAAAAGACTTTATCTTATGATCAATGCAATGCTAAAATTATTATTGATATATTTATTAAATTGTGAGCTATAAAAGTTTGTTTGTACCGAGTGATCAGATTGGAAAAATCCATAATTGTGGTGTTCCGGGGTATCCCCATTGTGAACACTAACAATTGATTATTGTGTGCACAAATATCTGATGTGTTGACTCGGGTGTTATTACTTCCCTTTTTTCTCACAAAAGTCCCTGTATAATAAAGAGTTTTAAGCTCGTATGACATAAAGAAGGAGTTATAATCATTTTGCACACAATTCTCTCAAGATGGTTTTTTTCTTTCTTTCCCCAAATACAAAAGTGATATCAATGCTACTTAAAAATGGTTTTATTGTGTATTTTTGTTGACTGAAGGTGGAGATGAATCATAGGGAAACATTATATCATTATATCATTTTAACTAGGTTTAGGTTTTTGTTTGTTTGAGGTTGTTGTTGTTTTTCAGGGGGGGGGGTGCTTTAAATTCAATTCAATTCAATCTTTATTTAGCAATCAGCATAAAATATGCCTTTGGCCATTTACAAGTAAATAATTATAGAATATGGCCAAGACAAAATAACATATCAGTGTACAATAATAATTCAAATGTATATGATTAATCAAACACATAACATATAAACATTACATTACAATGTAAATAAATTTACAATTAAGCACTGTTTGACTGTACAAATTCATTTCGTTCAATAGCCAGTGTTCTTACTTTAAATGCCTTACTTTAAATGCCTCTTTAATATAAGTTGCTAATTTTACTTGAATAGTTTTATTATTATTTTAATAATTGAAATAAAATAAAACGACTATGAGTAACATTTTCATATTTAATTTTGTTATATGTATATGACTCATACATGAACGCTTCAACAATGTTATTGCAAACAATAAAGCAATATCGCACTAAAATACAATTCAAGGTTGGATTGTTTTGGCCGCTCAAATTTGACAGGGTATCCCGTGGTCTAAATAATTCGACCGAGAGGAGATCAGACGTGCTTTATATTACACATTTTTACTTTTTTTGCTAAAGTCCAAAAACATACAAAAACACGCAAACAGTAATCATACAAACGCAAACGCAACGCAAACGCAAAACACAGTGTTCAACAGTCCAAAAGATTACCGCAAATGACATCAAATTGAAGATTCCATTCATCGCTGGGAACCCAAGCGTATAAATAGAACCCACAACTGACGCCATTGTACGGCAACGCCATACACTGCAACGCAAAAAAAACAGGAATTGCCAAGTACTACGGGCAAAACCAAATAACGCAAACTGCAGTCCAAACACATGGACAAAACTGTATGATACTTCCAAAAAATTAATTTCCTGATTATAGGTCGGCCTACCCTGACGGGTATTCCGTCACGAGCAGTAGAACCCATACACAGGGTTTTAAGTTAAAATGCCAACAAAACAGAATACAATGTCTGATCTCCTCTCGATCGGAAGAATTTTACGCCACAATAAATTTATCAAAAAATTTATCCCCCAAATTCTTATTGGGAGACTGGTACATTTTTAATGATAGAATCTTTGAAGTAATCTAGGAGGAATTCCAAACCAATATCATTGAGATGAACCCCGTCTGCCCGAAAAAATGCAGTTTTAGCATCAATGTCTGGCTTAATTGTGTCACTTTTACCCGATGAATGAACTAATTGACGGCCTATCCTGTTAACTCGTTTGCGTTTATTTTCCATAGCAACCCAACCCCCCGTGGCATTATGCCAGGTCTGCCTCTGTAATATATCTACCCAAATTAGTACCGTTGTAGGGAAAGCTTCACGTAAGTAATAAATTTCATCCCGAATAACATCTTTCAAATTTAAAATCGGTAAATCTGCCAAATCATTACCTCCTAAATGAACAATAATAATGGATGGAGGTGAAGAAAATAACACCTGTGATTCAATAGAGTGGCGGAAAGACTGCCAACGTAGGCCTCAAACACCCCACCAGGCTATTGTTAAATCTTTCAATCTCAAATTAGGCTTTCCTGTATTCTTTGCCCGCTGCCAGCCCAGAACGGGATCGAGTCACCCAGGACCCAAACATCTAAATATAAATAAAAGATTACACAGCGTAAGATAGTGATTTGAGAAGAATCAACATTTAAGGACGAATATAAAGTCGAAACGCTTGAGATGTCCACCTTCCCAGTTTCATTATTACTGATGAAGGGTAACCTTTTGTAGCTAAGTCTGTGGCTCTGCCTATTCTAAAGCTATGGGAGGTGAAATGTGCGTCAGACAAATTAGACTGATTGACACACTTAGTTAATACTGCCGAGAACTGCGTTCTAGTTACCGGCGAACCATCAGCGTGACAAAATAGAGGGCCCTTTGAACGAGGCCTGATTGACACAAATTCAAAAAGAGCGTTAACAGGGCATAAATCATCAGTTTCTCTAGGTATTTTCAGAAGAACAGGAGTCCCTCTTTGATTTGTTTTAAAATGACGCAATTTAATAACTGCATATTCTTTTTGACCTACAAATGTCAAATCCGATAAACTGAGCACATTTTCAGCTTGCATGCCGGATGACGTAACCAATTCGCTGACCCGAAACAAACCATAATAGGCCAAGGTAAAAAGTGACTCGAATAACTTGTTTTCGTAAATATTATAACACACGCTCGGTAGTGAATCACACACCGAAACCAATGTGCGTATTGTTAATGGTGCCCGACAATCGTTAGTTATACGATTTCTGCGACAACCTTCTAATAATTTGTTGACCATAAAAACATTATTTATGTTCATAAAAACCATATAATTTATGGTAATAATTCAGGCCAGCGATATAAGTTGTAATAGTTTTTGGCGAATGGCCTTTCTCAAAACAAAATGCCATAAACAAAATCACGTGATTAATTGGAATAGGCCATTGACTTAGCATTTTGAATGATAGTCTAAATTTCTCGAACATATTGACGCTAGTTCGGTAAGTTGATAAAGAGTTTGATGCTAGTCCCGATTGTAGCAGTTGTACAACTCTAGACTGAATGCGTTCCATAGAAACTCTGGAACCTGGCAAGGGGTGGGGTCCGCTTCCGGTGCCAACTCCCTGAATCGAGATAGCTGAAACCGAGACAAGCATCACAAATATTCATTTTGACAGCCAGGGAGATGACTAGCCTTAATTTAAAAATGTTGAGTCTTAAACAGCCGTAATGCTAAAATTCTGACAAGACACATGACTGCCTCTGATTTTGACGTTAAACTTATTGAGTAAGTATATGTACAACTGCAAAATTATCACAATTAAATTTTTATTTTTTCTGTTCACTAATTCCTCGCCCCAAATGAATAATGCGACTAAATGGGAAAGAGTTCTAGAACAGTAATATCCGTGGTGATACCCTAATTCATGCCACCACGTTGGCCATCTTGCATTGCACCAATGACCCTTGAAAGTAAAGACCAAAAACCTAAACCTATACCCCCGGCACTATCTGAAAATAACTGCACATCCTCATTTGAGACCCAAAATCTGTCATGAAAAACGGAAATACCGTTAAATGATTCTAAGAAAACTAGCCACATAGACAAATCCAATTTTATTTCTTTTTTTATTCTAATTCGATGATGAGATTTAGTAAGCCCACATATTGAATTAATTAAGCGGCGAATAAATGGCCGACCAATAGCTATGGCACGACAGCAAAAATTTAAAGATCCAATTAAAGATTGTATCTCTTTTAATGTTGACTTTTTATGAGATAAGATATTCTTTTATTTTTTCAACAACCTCGGTTATTTTAGTCGTGGGTATCCTCACAACCATTTTGCTTGAATCTAACTCGAGGCCGAGGAAAAACGAGGCTCTCCGTGGGCCCCTCGGTCTTATCTTCGGCTAGGGGTACCCCTAACTCCGACATTGTTCCTCTAAATATTTGTAATGCCCTATTGCAAGAGTCCATCGACGTATCACCTCCCAAAAAATCATCTAAATAGTGAATTAATTTGCCTGATTCAAAATTAAATGTAATGCAAAATTCTAAGAATCTTGAAAATCTTTCGAAGGTTATACAGCTTACAGATGCTCCAAACGGAAGTGCCTTATCGAAATAAAAACTTATCATATTATAACGAAAACCAAGCAACTCAAAAATCTGAAGGTTTAATAGGGATCAGACGGTAAGCACTTTTATATATCGGATTTAAATAGTTTGCAGTGCTGACCTAGATCTTGAATCATTTTGATTGCCATATCGAAACTGGTGTATTGAACCGTGCACAAGGCCGGATCAATATAATCATTGATTGATTCGCCCGGCGGATATGACAGATGATGAATCATTCTGAACTCCCCGGGGGTTTTCTTCGGGACCAGACCAATCGGGGATACAATTAAGTTTGGTAGTGGACGCTCATTGAATGGTCCAGCTACCCGGCCAGCTATAATTTCTTTATTAATTTGACTGTTAATTATTTCAGGATTTAACAGAGTAGAACGCAGATTATTGGAATCACGTGCAACACGGGGACCGGAATACTGTAGTGGAAAGCCATTCTTAAAACCATCATATAAAAACTCTGCTTCAATTTTATTATAAAATTGTAAATAATATTGCATGGCCGAAAGTTTAATTGGTGATTTCGCAATATTATAAATATCTGGATTTGACTGTTTTTTCTGATGTACAACAATGATTAATCGATTTACTTGTTTGACTGCCCTCTATTGTAACCTCTCCCTTTTGAATGGGACTGAGACCCCTTCCTCGAAAATTACGTTGAAAAGCTGGTGTACGACTTTTCTGTGTATAAACCAACTGAATTTGAAGAGAAACAGTTTATCTCAGGATGGGGCGCATTACACTTCGCGCATAAGTGGGGAAATTTGCAGTTTTGCCACGTGCATCTACCATTATTAAAATCAAGACACGTGTACTTAAATTTTGAAACGTTTTGGGCTTGATCTGGCTGTCTAAACTTGCATACACCGCCACCATAGGTCATTGTTGATTTTAGACCATGGTGAAGGTGTAATAGCCTGGCGTAAGCGAAACTGCTCATCATAAGTTTTTCCAGGCTGACCCGCCTTGTCGCATAGCGCATTCTCTTATATTGTACATATAATGTAGCAGTTCATAAACTTTTTCTGAAATGATTTGACAGGTATATATGGAGGCATATATGATGAATGCGTTTGTCCATTTTTTCGATATCATAAATTTTTGATCTTTAAACTCCCTTTTTGGGGCCGAAACCCCAATTGTAACTCAATTTAAAACCCTAACAATTTCCGGCCCCTAAAAAAATTTGGGATAGGGGTCAATTTTCACCCTTAAGGGAAACCAAAATTTAAAGTACTCGCCCCTAAAAGATTTGCTGTTTGGAAAAGTAGGGGTATTTAGCCCCTAAGTCACGTTTTGGTTAAAAGGCGAACAAGGGTTTTGGGCCCAAAATTTAACTTTTAAAAAATTTCCCGGGCCCAGAATGAAAATTTCATTATTTCTGGTTGGTCGGACCCCCGAAAAAGATCTTATTTACACGTGTTTTTGGGAAATCTTATTTGAAATTAAAACCCGATCACTCAAAAATTTGCTCGGGAAATCGAAAAAAACATTTGGGCCTTTCCCGTTCAGTCTCTAAAAAAGCCTGGAAATTTCCAAACCCTGTCGTCCAATTCGTCGGCTTGGCGCTTCTGACCCCTCGGTTGTCTGGCATCGACGCGCGGGTTATCCTGCACGTGCTCTTGACTCTGCTGGGGCTGGGCGCTACCACAATCATCTACTGCTCTACCTGCACGACGTGGAGTTGAATTTTGCTGACATTCGACGGTCCCTCGTGCATTTCTCTGCAAACGACGCTCCCCTAGAGGAATTTCAGGTACTGAAGCTGCCTGTCCTCTCTCGCTGCGTCGCATGGCCATTTCTCTTCTCGAAGGTTGAATCCTTCGGCGTGTACGACCTCGTGGCATCCCGTCCCTAGATTTGCCACTACTTGCCAGCTATTTCCACTGAAAAGGGTGGCATTAAGTGTAAAAAAGGTGGCATTAACTGGAAAATGACAAAATTCCACTCTTTTTCCACTGTAGTGGCAAAATTGCCACCAAATGCCACTATCCTTTGGTGGCATTTAGGTGGCATTGAGTGGAAATTTGAACATAGACTTTTTTATGGTGGCAAAAGGGTGGAAATTGGTGAAAAATGAAACTTAGTTTATTTTCAAGGTGGAAAATGAGTGGCTTTTTAGTGGAAAAGTGAAACTCTAACTATTTCTGGGTGGCAAAATAGTGGAAAAAAACTTAGAAAATTTTGTGAATAACTTTTAGTCGAAAAGGGAAACTCTTAACTATTTTCTGGGTTGTATAAAAATTGGTGGAAAAAACTGAGAAATCTAATAATTGTGCATTGCAGGGTTTAAGATTTATTTAAGTCAAAGCTCCAAACTGAAATAAATCTGTTTATAGTTTGTACTCTACCAAAGCATCAAGTGAACTTTTTATCAAAAATATAATTTATTGAAGTTGAACAGTTAGAAAATTTTATCAGAAACTCATATTTCTTAAACATACTAGAATGCCATGAACACAATTCTGATACAAAGTCACTGCCTCACAGTAACGGTATGATAATTCCAGCTGTAAAGTAGCAGGAAAAGACACAGAAATTGGACGTAAAATCACTTTTCCAGGCGTTAAACACATATAATTATGATCAGGAAAAATTAGAAAAGTATGGGGTTACTTAACTTCCCATTTTTTATGGCAGTACTTTTCTTTAGGGATGTAAAATTTGACTTTCAAGTCAAAATGTTTATGTTCCATTCTATGCTTGTAAAATAAAATATATGTCTTTTAAAGTGTACTTTGTTCTTTAGTTATAATCTGTACATTAATTAAATAGTTGAAATGTTCTTCTATGCCCAGAAAATGCATATCTCTGCATAAAGTTTGTTGCTTCTTCTATGATATTTAATGTCAATCTTGAATAAAGTTTGACTTTTGTCTTTTCTTCTAATTGACATAATAAATTGTCTCTTCAATATTACTTTAAACTGATATCTGGTGAGTACTAACACTTTTCATGTAATGCTAACAATAATTAAAGTGAAAAATGCAAAGGGCAATAACTCCAAAAGTATGCAAAGAGTTATGGTTCTTAAACACAGCACATTACTCAAAAAGATCTATATCTGTGAAGTTTCAAATTAATATCTCCAGTACTTTTTAAGCTTAATGATCAAGACAAAAATTAAGCATAGAGAAGTAAAAAATGGCAATAAACCCCAAATCATGCAATAAAAAGTTATGGTTCCTTGGCATTGTAACTTCTCATAAATGAGATTTAGTTATGTGTGGAGTTTAAAATTATTGTCTCTAACATCTTTTGTGCTATGCTTTCAGAGGCTTTAAATCTATTGTAAAAAATTAATGTGTGAAAAGTAAATAAGTCATAATGTCTGATAAATTTCTTACAATCAGGATAAGTAAATACTAGCTAGTAAATACTGCATCCTCTAAGATTTAACAACACAGCATACATCTCAGATCTGATAAAACTACTGCCCTCTTATCTAGTAATCTATGAATGGGGGGTTAATAGTTTACTCATGCTGACCAGAATGTTCCATTTGATTATTTTGGGAGAGGCAACATTTATACATGTTTTTATGTAGAATTTGTCTTAAAATAGCATGCTAAATTATCTTTCAAAAGCTTATTTCTACTCAATCTATTTAGGTATTAGATATAGTTATACATTCAAATGAATGTAAAAAATAAAATGATGGGTGCTATGGTTTTTGGAAAATCCCTCACAATTTAAAATTATAATGGACTGTCCATGCAGTTACACCGTTGTAAAGTTTGAATTCAAAGGAATTGAGGTCAGTTAAAGCTTGCAAACACAAAGGAAATTATTGATATTGTAGCAATTCTGGAGATATTTTGTTTAAAATGTAAGGGTGCATATTTTTGATTTCTCAAAGAAAACATTTAAAGTCTTATTAGTGTGGTAAATAGAAATGAGAAGTTTTAACTGAAGTGTGAATGTGTAGACAAGAAGATAAACAGCAGAATCATTCCCAGTCAAAGTTTCAGGTAAACAACTTTTACATACAATAATTATTGTTATTTATGCAGAAACTGTTTAGTTTTTTGACAGTAAAAATATGAAGTGGTATTGTATAAAATTGTGTTTTATATTTGTTTTGTTTGTAAATTGACTAAAAAGAAAGCTGCATGTACAATGTACTTATAAAGAATGTAGGAAGATCTTCATCATTTCTTAAATACAATATGTTAAAAATTTTAAGTTTGAGAAAAAAATTATAGGAATTAATCAGTAAGTACAATATCATTATGTACAATATTACATCAATCAAACTATAGATAACCTGAGGTACCTATTACTACAACTTTCATGCTATAAACAATTTTCCTTGTGTGTCACATGTGGAGCAGATTAACAGTAACTGATTTATTAGTAAGTTTCATTCCTTCATTGTTGTAATTCAGCTTTCATGGTGCAGTAGATAATTATATAACCATAACTAGACAGTCTAGAGTAACATGCTATTAGGAGAATGACAGTTCATAACAGAATCAGCATTAAATAAGAATTATTATTTTGCAGACACAAAGCAATGAGGAGCAGCCTGGAGCAACACATTTGATCTTCAGTGGCTTTACAAAGGTATCTTGTTAATTCAAAGTTATTTTAGAATTAATAGGAAAGAAGAGTCACAGTACCCAATAAGACACTTTTCAGTTCTTGATAAATATAGCTATTAGTCACTATTTACAAACCTACTTTAATTCAAACTCTTTATGACACTTTAATTTGCATTTACATTTTGTTTTACAAATTTTAGAGTTTTTGTACATTTTAGCTTGAAAATTTTATCAAATATTTATCCTGATGAAGGTTCGTTAAGAACTGAAACTGGAAGATTATTAATTACTCAACCTGCACTGGTGTTGATGTGTTGTATTTCTTTTTCTTTCTTATTTTAAAATTTTAGAGTTGTATACATATACCAAGGTCTTAAGTGATTCATTTTCTGTCTTTACATATTAGATATTGATAATCATTAATTTTTCTGTCTTTACTTATTTGATATTGTTAATCATATTTTAGGACCATGGCAGAACTGAAGCCATATGCCTCAAAAGAGAAAGGTACAGCAAAGCTCTTCAGAATGCTATTCAATATAGAAGAGATTAAAGGACGCTCATTGTTTGGTATGAGGAAAGGGAACAGAGAGTCTGACGCCAGACCTTCTTGTGCAGACAAGGCAAAACTTAAGTTCTTGGAAGGTAACTAATGAACTGAATGAAAATATCATTTTTGATTCTGCGTATATTTTCTGCCTTGGAGTAAATAAGAAAAGTCTGATTCTTCCACGTCTGCAGTGCTGTTTTTTAAAGTGTTTTAATCATATCTATGCACTCAAATTGAATATAGAAATATCCAATAGTCATATAAATGTAAGCTTATGTTTTTAATTATTGTATTAATCATTCATAATTTTTTTTGTTTTAGATTGTGCGCTCGAAAAGTTGCCGACAACCTAAAGGACTGAACTCAAACCGTCCAGGAATAGCAAGATAAACTGAAGAAAATCAATGGACTAATGTTTTGCTTTTTTTTGAGACAATATATAATTTCATATGGAAACATTAAAAAGGATTATTTTTAAAATTTGTTTGTTTCCAATTTAGGGTACAGGGTGACTTTCAAGCAGTTTCCAGCTATTGCCACCCACAAGGTGGAAAATTTCTGAAAGGGTGAAAATAGGTGGCATTTAGTGGAAACTGAATTTGCCACTATCTGGTGGCAAAATGGTGGAAAAGTGTCTAAATACTCCACCAATTTTCCACCTTATGGTGGCAAAAGGTGGAAATAAGTGGCATTTGGTGGGAAAATAAGTTTGCCACTCAATGGTGGCATAATGGTGGAAATTTTGTCTAAATACTCCACCAATTTTCCACCATTATGGTGGCAATAAGTGGAAACAAGTGGCATCTAGTGGAAAATGAGTTTGCCACCCTAAGGTGGCATAATGGTGGCATTATGGTGAAAGTTTGTCTAAATACTCCACCAATTTTCCACTCATTGGTGGCATTTAGTGTAAAAAAGGTGGAATTAACTGGAAAATTATATAACATCAGATCTGCTCAAATTTTTCACCATTTTCATGATTTGGGTGGCGTTTTGGTGGCGTTTTGGTGGCATTATTGGTGGAAAATTGTCTAAATACTCCACCATTGAAAAGGGTGGCATTTTAGTGGCAAATCTAGGGACGGGATGGCTAATAAATTTCAGCTTACTCTAATTGAGTGTGTTAATGCTTCGTCGTCAAACAAAAACTGAGAAAGTTGCACGAGAAACTCGGGCTTTTATATTATTAACAGCTAACTCTTTAAACCCGGCTCTATATAGAAATGATATGATAAACACGGTAACCAGTGTAATGTAAACAATCTATAGATAATGACCGAGGTTTGCCGATTGCCACGTAATGATAGCTTTACACAAGGTAGCAGACGATTATTTCTCTAAAATAAATGGGATTATTTTAATTCTAAAATAATCTTTATTATTATTCATTAATGCAACAAATTTATTAAGTGAAGGCCAATATGTATAATAAAGCCCTTGTCTTATGTGAAATAGTTACAATGCAATTTTACCTAAAGGGTATACCGGTAACTAGGTGATGAGTTAACAAAAAAAATGACAGCTGATCAATTTCATTAAAAAAAATAAAGAAGATAAATATAAAGTGTAACATTATACCTTTCTTAAATAATGGGGAATTCTCTCCACAAATACTGATTAATGAAGACTGTTTAATAATTTGTTTGCATTGTACACAGTAATGTATTTTTAGTAGGGCCATACTTTTTGAACTAATAAATTTGATCTTAAATGACATCTATATTTGCAGATATGCAGAGATTGTCTTTAATGGCCCATTAACCCTAATACTGCTATCTTTTTAAAAAAAAATCAAAAAATGTTTTTATTTTTGATGTCCTTTTATAGTTTCCAAAAAGTTCTTATTGGTGATACCATCTTTTGTTTCTTTTGCGCTTTGGTGATTAGTACAGTTACTTAATTAGTACCTTGTATGGAAGTATGGAAGTGAAAATATCACATTGTTTATATTTTGTTACCTTTATCATAAATCATTTTACATTCAATGATACTCTTTTGGTGATGAGTATTCCACATGAAATAAATCCAATATTACAACATTTTAAACTCATTTTTGCACTTTTGAGGGAAATGAAAAATTTACAAATTTATAAGGCCTTTAAATAAAACTGTATAATAATATGCTTAACATGGACAGTTACTTTTTTTTACTATCTTTCTTAAATTCCATTGGTAGAATTTCAAATTCCTGTGAACTAGATAGCTTACTTTTATCTTATTTTATCTTTTTTCTATACATATTAGATTTTTATCCTATTATAAAGGATATAATGCAAAGTGGGGCACCTGAGGTCATCCTTCACAAGTAAAGCTGGAGAGACGCCATGTGACCTTCACTGTGTCAGTGCAACATAAAACTCAAAATACAAAAAAAAAACGAAAGAATACTTCAATTATATTATTCTGGCACGTCAGATTTGTGTGCATGTCTGTAATTAGATTAACCGTTGCTGGTGTCCATGATGTTTGTTTATTTCAAATTTGTCTGCACTGTTTGTCATTCAGTCTGTACATATTTTGAAATTTAGCCCAAAAAAAGTTAAATGGGTTTCTCAAGATTGAAAGATAAACACAATTCTATTTAAGATAAATTAGCATGGAGGGGTTAATATAATGACTTCTATAAATTACACTTAGTACAAATGTACTTAAAATATGATGATTTAATCTCTATATGAATAATGGATGACTAAAACTTAATATGAATAATGGACGACTAAATCTTTATATGAATAATGGATATGAATAATGGACGACTAAGTACAAATGTACTTAAAATATGATGACTTAATCTCCATATGAATAATGGATGACTAAAACTTTATATGAATAATGGATGACTTAATCTTTATATATATAATGGGCGACTTAATCTTTTTATGAATAATGGTTGACTTAATCTTTATATGAATAATGGATGACTTAATCTTTATATGAATAATGTATTACTTAACCCATTACCCCATGAACTTTTTTGTGAAAAATGGCTGTTTTCATTGAAAAGTCTCCCATTACAAGTTCAAGTTGCTATAAAACTATAAAAACTGCTTCAATACTAATAAAACTTGGCACAAATGTTGACTGGACCATTGCCTTTGTAACAACATGCTCAGTCTGAAATTTCCTGTTTCCATGGCAACTAGGGGATATCTCAAAATTGCCAAAAATCACTATTTTGCGTTGATTTTTTCCATCAAAATTGATTTCAAAGTTCTGCCACTTCTCAATGGATCGAAATAGAGTCAAAGGCTTTTCAGCATTGGTTACACGTTACCTTATGATTGACCTGGGGCCAATTTTAGCCTCCCACAAGTCCAAAATTTTCTTGGCGATGAGGGGGACTCCGCCCCCCCTTCAAACCCCGAAACAGAAGGGGGTACATCCCCCTTCTGGCAACCCCCTGATGTATCTTTTGGATGGGGGGCCGCGCCGAAAAAGTGTTCAATTTTTTAAACAACATTTCTCAAACAAAAACAAGTGTTTGGGGCCTAAATAAGGCATTCTTTCACCATTTGAGAAAGCAAAAAGGGGGGGGGGGTGAAAAAGGCGTAGAAAGGCGTATATATCTGGTAATGGGTTAAACTTGATATGAATAACGGATGACTGAATCTTTATATGAATTTTTAATCTTTATATGAATAATGGATGACTTAATCTTTATATGAATAATGGATGACTTAATCTTAATTTGAATAATGGATGAATTAATCTCTACATGAATAATGGATAACTTAAACTTTATGTGAATAATGGATGACTTAAACTTCATACAAATAATGGATGAGAATAATGGATAACTTAAACTTTATATACATAATGAGAAGAGGTGGTTTTGAAGCCTGGTGTTGCTAAAAAATGATATCATCTGAGGATAGCTGAAATTATCTTTCCTGCTTCAGCACCATATGACCTAATTGTGTAGGTGGGTTGTAAAATCATAACAAACAATACAAAAAAAAGTTTAACCCTGCCCACTCTAAATGTCTTAAATGGACTTGTCCATCTTTTAATCAAAGCAGTTAAACCAATTATCATTTTTAGCGGATATTGTAAAATTTGTACTGACGGAATAAGTTACAGTGCAGATCATGAAGGACAGCACCGAATTGTGCCGGTCGATGTTGTAGAATCTTTTGCCGCCATAAGGCTTGGAATTAAATAGGAAAATGTCGTAATATTAGTTTTTGAATAAATGAGGCACCACCATATTTAAATATCTGTTTCCTAAATAAATAAATAATGTCATTTAATTATGTCCCATATATTACCAATGAATGTTTTTGTTATTTCAGGACGTTACCGGTTCCTCGTAAGGGTACTTGCTCTAGCAGTTTGTACATGGCCTGGTTGGACACTTTAACACGAGATATGCCGCCCATTCTTCTTCTCCGTGGTAACCAACAAAGTGTGCTGACGTTCTACAGTTAAAAATAGAAAAATTGGGTTTCTGTTCAATTTACTAAAAATAGAAACAGTGACTCGTTCAACCACTAAAAATAGAGTGGTGTACTGTTCAACCTTTCAACCACTAAAAATGAAGTTGTGTTCTGTTCAATCACTCAAAACAAAACAGTGTTCTGTTAAACAGCTAAATAAATCAGTGTTTATAGCTACATGTAAAGCTAAATAATATTGGTGTCATTTTCAAGTGGGATAGTGTTCTACCTAACAGTGAAACAGATTAACATTGCTAAAATAGAACCATGAAACTGAAAAGACCCCCAAAAAATACCATTTGTAATATAAGCCTGCCTTCTTATTATTCATCAGAGGACAAGATATATGAGCCACGCCATGACAAAACCAATGTAATGCGTTTGCGACCAGCATGCATCCAGACCAGCCTGTGCATCCGCGCAGTCTGATCAGGATCCATGCTGTTCGCTATCAGTTTCTCTACTTGTTATAGGGTTGGTAAGCAAACAACCTGGGTCCTGATCAGACTGTGCGGATGCTCAAGGCTGGTCTGAATCCATGATGGTCGCAAACGCATTACGTTGGTTTTGTCATGGCGCAGCTCAATTATATGATATGATGTAAAACATAGTGTACGATATCATGTGATATGATGTGCAGAAATGAGACATTATATATGATATAGGGCATTATCATTGAATATATGACATGGTGTAAGATAAAATATGATATCATATAATAGAAAATGTTATATGATACAGTAGGAGTGGACAAATCTGATATCATATAATATAGGACACAGGTGTATGCTATATATCATGGTGTAAGATATCATTTTTTTTCAAAATATGTGTTATTGTATATGGACTTATTAAAAATGGCATGAAAGCAGAAATGCAGCGTAGAAGGATATATGTAATGTTTAAACATGTATAGGTTTAAACTGTTTGAAACATGATATTAGGCAATATTTATAATTTATGACAAGTCCTTTTGAAACATTTTAATATTTATAAATTACGATCTAAGTGTTGTAAACATTACTTAACTTAAAGGTTTTGAAGTTATTGAAAGGCAGAAGAGATAGATTTTTTATTTTGAAAAAATTCATGTAAATTTAAGTAAATTGATGTAAATTAGTAATAGCATCATTCTCAAAATCTTCTATTGACATTTATTTCAACATGATAGGACTGTAAATATTTTGTCAGAAAAATGTATTGTGTAAAATTTCAGATCCTTTACTCACTCCATATATTTTTTTAGAATAATCTTTTTTAATTGTGCAAAAAAGACACAAAAATGAAAAGCATATAATCATATTGTCACCTAAGTGCAGTAACAGCTTAACTCTTATTAAATTATATTAAGGAGTTAGCTCATTACTACACTAATGTGATGATCTTTAAAACAAAAGTTAAGCTAAAAGTGGATTACAAATTGCTGTCCGGGACATAACTCAACATGTACAAGAGATATCAACTTCAAACATTGTAGGTAGCTACATCTGAATGAGTTGTGCAGTATATAAGAACCGTAACCCTCCCTTCCCTAATTTTGGAGTTATTGCCCTTTGTTCAATTTTACACCAGGGCATAACTTGAGAAATATAAAATGTACCAAATTGAAACTTTGTAGGTAGATATATCTTACTGAGTACAAGTGCAGTGCATGAATACCGTAACCCTCCCTTCCCTAATTTTGGAGTTATTGCCCTTTGTTCAATTTTACACCAGGGCATAACTTGAGAAATATAAAATGTATCAATTTGAAATGTTGTAGGTATATATATATCACTGAGTACAAGTGCAGTGCATAAGAACTGTTACCCTCCCATCCGTAATTTTGGAGTTTAATTGCCCTTTATCATTTTATTAATGTGAACTTTGTCTGGGATGTAACTTGAGAATTATAAAAAATATCAACTTAAAACTTTGTAGGTAGATAGATCTCACTGAGTAGAAGTGCATTGAATAAGAACTGTAACTCTCCCATCCCAAATTTTGGAGTAATAGCCCTTGCAAGTACATAACTTTACAACTATAAAATGTCAACATTGAAAATGTAAGGTACATTTTGATGTTTCATTATCACTTTTTAATGCATTCATTAAATCAATATTGAATTATAATTGTCCTAACTTCCTTTCCTAACTTTGTCCAAACTATAAAAGGTATCAAAACTTGAAACTTTGTAGGTAGATACATCTGAATAAGTAAAAGTGCCATGCACAAGAACTGTAACCCTCCCTTCCCTAATTTTGGAGTTATTGCCCTTTGTTCATTTTTACACAAGGAAATTACTTGAGAACTATAAAAGGTATCATCTTGAAACTTTGTAGGTAGATACACCTGAATACATAGAAGTGCAGTGCAGAAAAACCATAACAAAAAATAAAATAAACAATTGAAAAAAATCTATAAACAACTGCATTCTCCCTATGTGCAAAATTATTAACTAAAAAGCATGGTTTCTGACAAGCGCTTCTGGTAGGGGGGAGAGGAGGACTTGGCATTTGTGACAAACTCTAGTTTTCTCTGCTCTTTCACAAAAATAAGGTAAAAAATTTTAATAAACATGAACATTTAGCCAATCCTGTTTTGTTTATTTAAACTTAAAAGTGGTATAATAAAAGAGTTTTATCTTAAAAAATATCTTCATAACTTAACGCTAAGTTTGTGCAAGAAGGAAGTAAACAATTCAAATGGTTTCAAATTATTTTCAAAATCAATGCATGTGTGTTTTATCTCTTGTTTGTAAAGCGTAGGCACTGAATACATTGTTTTTCAAAATGTGCAAAGTGTTATGATATAATTAAGGGCAAAATACCCTGTGTCTTAATTTACATGTTTGAACTGAACTTTTTAGTTTTAGCAGACCTTGGTTGGGTTAAAGTTAATTGCTCGAATAGATTTTTGTAATCTGTTTGGTGGGAGTCAAAGGTGTTGATAGTCAATGCTTTTGTAATGTTTAAAGAATTTGTTTGTTTGTTTTTTGTTTCTTTTATATTAAGATTGATTCTGAAATTATTGTTAATTTATCTTATACATGTATTTCCATGTTGTTTGCACTTGAACCTCCTTATAAAGACCTAGTTAAGTCATACTTGCAATAAAGACCAGTGTAAATCAAACCTGAATTGAAAGACCAGTGTATTTAACGTGGTAAAACATGTGGATAAAGGACATTAGAGGGTTTGTAGAGGTAAACTTGCATATAAACACTAGTACAAGTCAAACCTTCATATAAAGACCAGCAGAGGACTCGGTAAAAACAAACTTGCATGTTAACACTAGTACACATCAAACCTTAATGTACCTTAATATAAAGGCCAAAAAAAGCGCTTAGTATAGACATTGAATTTAAGTTATTGTCAATAATGATTTAAGTTTGATTATTTTGGAAAGTAAATTATTGATAGTGATTAAAAGTGTGGTTTCAAAGAAATGGAACTACTCAAAAAAATGATTGGTATCTTTTGGTCAGTTAATTGTTTATAGTGATTAAAACGGCCTTCAGTTTTTCTAAAAGTTAAATATTTTATTCTTTACATAAATGGTTTCATATAATGGTCAAATAAACAGAATTAAGGTGGAAAATAAAGTTTGCTGTCCTTGAATTACATAAACAATAAAGAAATCCATCGATCCCTCGATACCTCTAATCTACCGATCTACTCTAAAATATGTAAATTAGTAAAGCTGACACGATCTTCTATTTTTAGTAACAAACATCACTGACACGTTAATAAACAGTTCTCGGGACGCCGTTTTGAAGAAGGCTAATTAATAACCAAAGATGTGATGCACTTTTTCAAGATAAAATTTTTTAAATACTTATATTTAAACAACACAGAATTTGTTTTTTTTCCAACAAAAAATAAAAGATGAAGGCCGCTTTAAGTGTGATAGTTGAAAAATTAAATTTTTTTTTATGATGAATAAGTGTGATGATGCAGATAGTTGCAAATGTGTAAAAATGAAAAAGGTTAAAATGCTTTAGAAATAGTGAGCTTTATTTGTGCTGTTATAATTTTTGTTTGTACAGAATGATATATACTATAAATATTTCACACCAAAACTATTTTTGATACCATATTGTTGATATAATGTAAAAAATAGAATTGTAAATAAGGTGACGGGGGTTGTAGACATGTGTAAGTTATTCAACATGCTATGTTAGAATAATTATATAAGCAATTAAGTTGTAAGTACATGTATGAATAAAAACTTGTGAAGAAGTTGTTTGATGGAAAAATGATAACTACATGTATGGAAGTTGTTTACTATGAAAATGATAACTACATGCATGGAAGTTGTTCATTGTAAAAATGATTATTACTTTTTGTTAGCTGTTAACTGTTTAATAAATAACTCCTTGTTTGGAAGTTGTTTACTGTCATATTAATAACTACTTTTGTTTACTGTAAAAATGATGACTTCTTGTGTGGAAGTTGTTAAGGGTAAAAATGATAACCAACCACATGCATGGAAGTTGTTTACTGCCATTGAAAAATGATACAATGTATATGCTTTTCAATTTATAAAATCTTGTTTGTAAGTTGTTCACTGCAAAAATGATAACTATAAGAAGTTATTTTGCTTCATGAAAATATAATTTCTTGTGAGGAAGTTGCCTGGTGTTGATTTTTTATATATACAATGAAGGTTAGTGATATAATAACTGTAAATGAGAGGACAATTAACAGATTTATACCAGTATTTTACAAAAAAAACAGCGTGAATCTCAGTTACCTTAATATACTCAAATTTTGGTGTTGGAATTTTGGTCTCTGCTTTGCAAGTATCTTAAGTCCCATCTGGGTTTCGAACCCACAAATATTAGTGGCAAATGGTTCTAAGTTGCTGATTGTTGACCTCTCAGCCAAAGAGGCCTTTCATGATAACTATAAGATTCACCTTTATAATTTAACTAATGCTTAAAGGGACTCCACTATGCGGTATTTTCTTTTGACATCGCAGGACTGGAAATAATATTTTGAGATTTATGCTCCATTTGATGTAGGTCTAGACCAATAATGTGTGTTCAGAATTTAATATCATTTGCTTAATCTATTTTTCCAGAATGGTTAATCTTCTTGTGAAAAATGATCTAAAATTGGAAAGCGTTGCAATGGTTTACACTCAAATTGCACTTAGAATTTATTTACATGATAATATGATTTCAATTTATTTTTGAGTATATTTTTTATTTATCTTTTGCAATTCTTTTGTTTAAAGTGTCCCCACCTGTTCTATGTAAGAAATTAAGATTTTATGATTTTAGGCTTTTGGACCTCAGTAGAGTTCCTTTAATGATATACAACTTCACATTACAGAATGTTTTATTAATTAAACCATCATAGCATATTGGAAAGTAGAATTTATGTTTTTGCACTAAAATGGCCCATGAATTCAGTTTCCACAAAAAAAAATCGTATAATTTGGTATTCATATTTGAATTGTAAAAAAATATTTTTCATAACCAATCATCCAGTGTCATATACTATAGAACAATGTCACCTGATCAAAGGATAGAGGTCAGAGTCAACTATTTAAGTATTATATTAAATTTCAATATGCATTTAAGTTTAATGGAATAAGCAGTTTTTTGTTGTTGTTTTTTTTTTTACAAATAAAAATGGGCATTAGTGTTCAAAATTGTTCAAATGTGTATTGAAGTCTTTATTTTTTGTTATTTCAAAAAAGGAACAATTTCCCTTTTATGTTCAGTATTGTGGTGCATTTACCAAATGGGTTGGTGTTAGACATGTATCTTAGCCCTTTCTAAGTTCATTATTGTGCAACTTTTATCATATTAAGTATTGACAAGGAACAAATCCGTCACTGAAAGTTCAATAATTGTGCAATCTTACCTATCAGTGTGTATTTCCATAAAGAACAATTTAATTACTGAGCAATTCAACCAAATAATGCACATCTTAAAAGGAACAATTTCCCTTTCTAAGTTCATTACTGTGCAATATCACCAAATAATGCACACTTTAAAGGACAATTTCCCTTTCTAAGTTCATTACCGTGCAATATAATCAAATAATGCACAACTTAAAAGAACAATTTACATTTCTTAGTTTATTACTGTGCAGTGTAACCAAATAATGCACAACTTTAAAGGAACAATTTCCCTCTTAGTTCAGTTCAGTACTGTGCAATATAACCAAATTTAGTTTTGTGAAGTTCAAAACTGTGCAATCTTACCAAAACTACTTGGGGACAACATTGTAGAAACATTTTCCTTACTTTTTAACAGTTTAAATCTGGGGAATAAAGTCAAAATGCTACTTAACAGTAACAGTTTCTCCTACTTGGTTCAATACTCTGGAACAAAGTTTCAGGAACAATTTCCCTTACTTTGTTCAATACTACATATTAACAGGAACAATTTCTGTTTCTTGGTTCAATACTACATATTAATAGGAACAATTTCCCTTACTTGTTTCAATACTACATATTAATAGGAACAATTTCCTTTACTTGTTTCAATACTACATATTACATTACCAGGAACAATTTCACTGACTTTGTTCAATACCACATATTAACAGAAACAATTTCCCTTACTTGGTTCAATACTACATATTAATAGGAACAATTTCCCTTACTTTGTTTAATACTACATTTTAATAGGAACAATTTCCTGTACAATGGTTTCCATTGCTTGGTTCAATATTACATATTAACAGGACCAATTGCCTTTACTTGGCTCCATTCTGAGAAACAAAGTTAAATAGTACCTAAAGGAACAATGTCCCTAGCTAAGTTCAATACTACATATTAAGGGGAACAATTTCCTTTTCTTGGTTCAATACTTCATAATGGGAACAATTTCCTTGACTGCGTTCATCATTGCTTGGAGAATCAGGGAGGAACTATGTTTTAGCTTCATGACAAACTGAAGAAACAAGACAAATGTTTTACATGCAATTTGTTTGTTCTAAAAATTTTAGGTTTTGGAATGATACCCCAGAACAATTATTTGACTTTACACAAATATTAAACATGACAAATATTTTAATTGTATTGTTTATGACAGCAGTTTGTTTGGATAGAAGATGTATATCATAATTAAATAGGAAAGTGGTTAGTTAAGTTGATAAGTCGATTAATATTGTTAAAGAATCTCGTATCATTAAGAACCTTAAGACATTGAAGGTCATATTTTGTTATTTGCATATTAAAGGGATAGAGAAAGTTTGCAGTTGTTGTTGTTGTTTTTAATTCAAAAAGGATAAAATAAGAAACCATATTGTGACATATTGTGAAAAGATTAATGACTGCAGTCATTAGTCCTATCTGTTCATTAATCCTTTCTGTTTATTAACCCTTTCTTGTTCATTAATCCTTTCTTGTTCATTAATGCTTTCTTGTTCATTAATGCTTTCTGGTCATTAGTCTTTTCTGTTCATTAATCCTTTCTGTTCATTAATCCTTTCTGTTCATTAATTTCTGGTCATTAATCTTTTCTTGTTCATTAATCCTTTCTGTTCATAAATCCTTTCTTGTTCATTTATACTTCTTGTTCATTAATCCTTTCTGTTCATTAATCCTGTCTTGTTCATTAATCATTTCTGTTCATTTATCCTTTCTTGTTCATTAATCCTTTCTGTTCATTAATCCTTTCTTGTTCATTAATCCTTTCTGTTCATTAATCCTTTCTGGTCATTAATCCTTTCTGTTCATTTATCCTTTCTTGTTCATTAATCCTTTCTGTTCATTTATCCTTTCTGTTCACTAATCTTTTCTGTTCATTAATCCTTTCTGTTCATTAATCCTTTCTAGTCATTTATCCTTTTTGGTCCTTAATGTTTTCATTGCCTTTAATTTGTTTTCAGTTTCATAAACTGTATTCCATTTCATCTTCTTAGATTACACATTTAATCATCATTATTGATTAATGCAATTCGAGGGCTTAGAGCGAAACTAGCCTATCTTTATATAGAAATAGAAGCAGATAGACTAGTTTCGCTCTAAACCCTCGAATTATAAAAAAAAATGCTTCAAATATATTGTATTGTTTAATTTTGATGATTGTTAAAGTTCAATAAATAGTGTTACATTGTTACAATATACTTTTATTTTTCTTTTAATGTGAACCATACCGTTTGAAGTTTGCAAACAGTTTTTTTTTCAGTATATGGATACATGTGATAGTGTATTAATGTAAATTTTTTATCATAAAACTAAACACCTCCCCCCCCCCACCCCCCAAGATTAAAAACATGCAACCATCTCCCT